CCTCGTTGCCATGCCTACATTCATATGAGGCTTGTGTGGATCATGCATAAATTGACTAACAAAATTCACTACATAGGTAATATTTAGACATATATGAGACAAGTAAATTAGTTTTTCCACCAACCTCTGGTGTCTCCTTTGTCTATGTTAGTTGAATTTGAGCATTGAAAAAGCATATGATTTTGTTCAATCGAGGTGTTAATTGGTTTACACCCAAGTAGCCTAATTTCAGACAATAAGTCAAGAGTATACTTTCTTTGGCATAGAAAAATACCATTTTTTGATCTAACAACTTCAATACCCAAAAAATATTTAAGGTTTCCAAGTTGTTTCATCACAAATTTAGATGCAAGGAACTTTTGCAAACTAGAAATGTCATCTTGGTCCTTTCCCATAACTATCATATCATCTACATAGATAATCAAGGCTATAATTTTATCTTTTCTTACAAAATATAAGGTATGATTAAAGTTACTTGCTCTATAGCCAAAAGCCTTCATAAATTTAGTGAACCTTCCAAACCATGCTCTTAGGGATTGTTTCAATCCATATAGAGCTTTTTTAAATTTGCAAACCTTCATTCTATTTGACTTTATCATACCTAGTGGGAAATCCATATAAATGTCTTCTAAAATTTCTCTGTGTAGGACAACATTTTTCACATCAAATTATAGAAGAGGTCAATCTTGATTTGTTGCTAGTGACAAAAATATTCTCATAGTGTTGAGTTTGGCTACCGGTGCAAATGTCTCTTGATAATCTACACCATAAGATTAAGTGTAACCTTTAGCCACTAGCCGTGCTTTAGACTTATCAATAGTTCCATCAGCTTTGTGTATAATTTTAAAAACTCATTTGCATCCCACTATTTTCTTCCCCCTTGGTAAAGTCACAAGATCGCAAGTGTTGTTTTCTTTTAAGTTATCATCTCCTCAACCATTGCTTCAATCCATTTAGGATTTGCCAAAACTTCATGTACATTACTAGGAATAGAGATTCAGGATAATGAGATACAATAGATGCATATGAATGAGATAACTTGTGAGATGACACATAATTACTAATATGATATTTAAGTTGGGATTAAAGGTTTGGTTCATATCTGACGGGAGGTTGACCACGACTAGAACAAAGTGGAAGATTATATTGGACACTAGTAGACTCAATGTTTGGTGTGTTGCTTAAAGGAAAAATAGCATGATGACTTTTTGCCATTACACAAGTTTCACAAATAAAATATGAAATATTGCATTTATGAAATAACGATGGAAATAATTTCTTTAGATAACTAAAAGAGGGATGTCCCAATTGTCTATGCCATAGCCAAATTTCCTTTTTGTTTCTATCTTGTATGTACTCACTCACAAGATGGGTCAATGCCCCTTTATGGGTTTGTTGTGAAACATTCTCAAGATAATATAGCCCTTCACTATATCTACCACTACCAATCTTCTCATTGGTATGTATGTTTTGAAAAAGATAATGGGTTGGGTAAAACATAGTAACTCAAGAATGTGACTTGGTTAATTTACAAATAGAGAGAAGATTACAATTCAAAGTAGGTACAAATAAGACATCAGGTATTGATAAGAAGGGTGAGAGGGATACACTACCAACACCTCCAATGGGAGATGATACTCCATTGGCATTAATAATGATAGTTTTAGAACTTCCAAGGGAAAAATTAGTAAATATATGAGGATCACAAGTCATATGGTTAGTAGCACATGTATCGATTATCCAATCGCTACCCCTAGTAACAATAGAAATATTAAGAGCAAAGTTAGATAAACCTAACTTGGTTACAAATCCGGTAGAAATAAATGTATGGCTCTTCATATTTTTTGCCTTGGTATTGGGAGTAGTTTTGCCTTTTGGATGCCAATCTAAATATCCATGGAGTTTAAAGCATGTCTCCATGACATGATTATCACCATTATAGTAGGTACACCTATACAATCCTTTCTTAGGATACTTCTTGACAACAAAGATAGACCCCTCAGCAGACTCACAACCAAGCATAGCCTCTTGGTGATTTGCCTTTGTACAAATAGTTGCATAAACTTATTGAACATTTGGAAGAGGAGTGGTAGCAAGGATACAGGCATGAACTCCATCCAAATGTGAATCTAGGCCCGCCAAAAAAACATAAACTCGTTGAGAATTAACCATATTGTTATACTTCTCGACATCTTTAGAGCATTCCATGGTACAATCATTAATTGCATCATATTTTGAGTAGACGTTACCTCACGATACAATTGATATGCTCTTGATGCATCTTGATTGACTAAGTATGTCTTATTTACTGTTTCCCAAATTTGCTTTGTTGTAGCTAAGTGAATGAAAAGGGATCTAATTTTTTTAGTCATGGAGTCTAGAAGCCAAGACTTGACCAAACAATCTTCATCTTCCCATGCTTCATATTCTTCAGATTCCTTGTCTTTTGGTGTCACCTTTGTTCTAGTCATGTAACCTTAACATTTTCTACCTCTAATCTTGTTTTGCACATTCAACAACCACTTGACATAATTGTTATTGTCAAGTCATTTCAGGGTAAGCACTTCATGCATATGGGTTGCGACGGAAGTTCCAAAATTAGGTTTCTCTAATTTATTTTTATCGGTAAAAGCCATCAAAAAGTACTATAAAAAAACCAACAACGCATCGGTTCTTATATTGTAGAGGAAGTCTATGTTGGCTCTTAATACCATATAGAATTGTTTCAAATAATAATTATGATAATTTCATTCATAAAGCAATGTAACATATATACACAAGAATCCCTATAATTCCTTTTCTATTAAAGGAATGACAACTCAACAAATAATCTCATAATCGTACAAATGACTAATTTTCAACAAAAATTTAGCAAATAGAATATTTGACTTATCTTAGCATGTGACGCTAATAAAACACATTTATTCTTACTTGAAGGCTGAGTAGCCTAGTAGGTCAAGTTGTCACAACACTCTACACTAGGAGAAAATACACCAATAACGTGTTGGGATAACTATGTTGATCAAGTTTCACCTCATGCATACAAAGTTGTGGGACAAGGGCTCCCAAACCTAGTTATCTCCAAGATCATGGAATTTCCAAGCTTGTACACAAGGGAGACCTTCCTTGATAACGTATTTCACATCGTACTCATCACACAAAAACACATTTATGCAAATGATGAATGACATATAGACTCTCTTATGCATGGTTACAAAAATTATATTCACATAGTTTCTCAATTCACAATTCACTTCACTACTAAGTTATACTTAGGCTTGTTCACTTGATCACGTATATCACATAACTCATGTTTCACAATAATATCATAGGCTTCCAATACTTCTCATGTATTCTTAATTCTCATCCCTAGGCATATCACATATTATTCATTTACTTCACATTACACAAATAACTCACTATTTCATTC